TCTGGATATATGAGCATACATTTCTCTCTTCAAGTATTGTAATTGAAAAGAAATACATATTAGTAATAATAGACTTATAAGAATCAGTGGAGAGTCCACCTGACTACAGTGATCATTGGCTAAGGCTCCAGTTGTACATTACATATACATAATGCTTGATTTGAAAAAGCAGTAGGGGCAATCCCCAAGCCCTAGTTTCACCAAACATTTACATAGAGTGAATCAGGTTTCCCAGAGTGCTGTATTATGCTTAGTTGTTTAAAGAACTCAGTGCTGGAAATTGCAGAATGCTTGTAATGGCCAGCATCAAAAACACTGCTTATTTTAGAAAGGTGGTGCAATATTAATTCATAGAATCATAGAATGGCTTGGGTTGGAAGAGATCTTAAATACCATTTAGTTCCAATCCCTCTGCCATGGGTAGGGACACTTTCCACTTACCACATTTCTCAAAGACTCATCCAGCCCAGCCTTGAACCAGGGATGGTGCATCCACAACTGCTCTGGGCAGCACGTGCCTCTGTCTCATCACTCTCACAGTTAAGAATTGCTTCCTAAACCTACCGTCTTTCAGTTTAAATCCATTGCTCCTTGTCCTGTCACAACATGCCCTTTTAAAAAGTCCCTCTCCAGCTCTTTTGCAGGACTCCTTTAGGAACTGCAAGGCTGCCCTAAGTTTGCTTTGGAGACTTCTCTTCTCCAGGCTGAGCAGTTCAACTCTCTCAGCTCGTCTTCATGCGAGAGTTGCTCCAGCCCTCTGATTACTTGAAAATCAAAGTGAAATGAAAAGGGGAAAGGACTATACTACGTACAAAGTGCTGCCTCATAGAGCATGACTAAGGATGTATTTACTCCAGACTATGAGGGGAAATTTACAAAGGCAGAAAGACAGTCTGTCTTGTAAGATAAACCATCTGGGGACTACAAATTTCACAGCCTTTTGAAGCTTCAAAATTTTGTGTTTGTTGATTCCTCCTAAAAAAGATCAAAACCCAAACCAAACCCCCTCCTCAAAAAATCAGGGGGGTAAAAACCCCAATTTCCTCAGGTTTGGTAGTCAGTATTTCTGCAATGGGAAATCTTAGATGTTGATTACTTGATGCCCAAGCCAGGAAAGAGGGTTGATCACCTATGATTCTGGTAGTCTGAGAAATAATTGCTTGTATAAATTCTAACTCGAGTCCATGAAGCTCATAATTCTTCATAAACATACTAGGACAAATGAATTAATATCCTGCTTTGATCCTGTTATCATAAATGCTACTGTTTTTTTATTAGATGTAATGTTTGGAAGGAGTAGCCAAAAGTTTCAAAATCTGTGACTTATTGTTCTGCTACTGAAGTCTGGCTTGGAGTTCAAAGGAATCTTGTTCTTTAGATCCTTTCTTACCCAACTTGGAACAGATACTTGCCCAATTCTTCCAGTAATGTAATGGAAGTAGAAATTGCAAAATGTAAGTGACAGGACAGCTCTGTCTAAGAATTGGAATAAGAAGGCTTAGAAAGAAAATGCTTAATTTTAAATGGAAAATCTCTGTATAACTTAAAACTTATGGAAATTATTTTCATTTAAAAGACAATTTTTTTCTCTATCAAATGGCCAATAGCAGCCAGTGGATTAGCAACAAACTGAAAAAGTAATCATATTTTAGAAGAATTGAAAAATGCATTTTTTACATGATTTAGAAAAATAATAAAACCTGTTTTCTTAATTTTATACTTACAAACAAATATTAGTCCGCCGAGGAACATCAAGCCAATGGCAGCGCCACTAAGTGTGGTATTTGAATCCAACTGCCTGCCATAATTTTCATTTCCATAACCGCTGTCAGTGTAGGCAGTATATCCTTCATCACCTCCTTCGTAGCCATCAGTATAACCCTGGGACTGTGTGTGGTCCTCATAATCTCCTCCATAATCACCACCACCACCTTGCTGCCCTCCGTCTTCCCGGCCCTCTCCACCAGTGCCGCCGCCACCACCGCCAGTGCCGCCGCCGCCACCACCAGTAGTGCCACCACCACCACCACCACCAGCGCCACCACCACCACCGATGATAATTATTCTTGTGGCCCCACTGGTGCAGTAGTTCCGACTGTCACACTGGCAAGCTTGCACAGGAATTATGTGTGGTCGAGCACAGCGCCGGCCTTGGCTGTCCCTTACAACGACGTAGATCCTATAAAGGTAAAAGTCTATGTTCTGGCCCACTAGTTCTGCAGAGGAGTCTTGGAGGGAAAAAAAAAAAGGAGAAAAATATTTGGATGAAGGTATTGACCATAAGTGTTGTACAAATCTATACTACTTGTGTATTACATTCATAGAACAGAATGAAAGTATTCCCTTTCTAAGCACCTCAATTACTTATGCACCTACATTATTTACTCAACATGAAGTACTCATCTATGCTTGTTTTTTTCATTGCAAAACCTGACCCAAATCAGTCTAGTTATCACTTATAAACTAGAGAAATACAAGAGGGGAAAATGAAGTCTTTTATTTCTACTGCTAAATTTTCTGAATTTTATTCGCACAATGTAAAGATAAAAGTTGAAAGTTTTATGCATTTTTTTATTCCTCTCTCAAGGCACTCATCCATGTTTTTCAGAAGGTTTAAAATATTTAAGATTACATATTTGCAACTGTTGAGGACAGGTAGGAGACTGAAGAATACTTGCAATTGTGATACTTGCCATATAATGTAGTCTTCTATGTAAACAGTTAGTTATGCAAATTGTGTCATTTAGTTATGCATGGGATCTGATTAATTCATTATTTTGTTATTTCGTATTGAAGGAAACTGGCAAAGCTTCACTGGGCACTGACTAAAACAATTTTCCTTAAAATACAAGTAGGTGTGACTGGTACAATAAATTTTAAAAGTTATAATCTTAATTTGTCATTTTCACATGCCTCTCATAAAAGTAAAGCTCTACTAACTATAAACTTTATACTTTAATAAACAAATTTGAGATTTGATATATGCTTAGGATTTTTAGATAACACAGAAATAAAAAAGTGTCAAATTACTCTTTTTGATTTACTTCATTATGTTTAGACCCATAAAGGCTCTTGTCATAGTAATACTGAAAGTACAGTTTTGCTAGTAAATTTTCAGTTTCCTTTAAAATATAATATATGTAATAATTCTGATTTAAATATTATAATATATATATATATTTGCATGCATATATTCAAATTTGGAGTAACTTCTTAGATTTGTATTTAACTGAGATTTGAATAGATTCTAATAAGTGTTTTATTTGTTAATAAAGAAACATCCCAATTACTTATTTTAGATAAGACCTTATTGCTATCATTTATTCTGTTATAAAATGCAGGTTAATTTACCATTTATTCGTCTGATAATCCATGTAGTCTGAGGTTCACCATGTATGCTGAATGTGAAGGGGGTAGCATAGACAACACCATCCCTGGGCTTTGCTGAGATAACCACTGATGGGGAATGCATACATACTTTCCTCACTTCAGTATTAATAGTTGGGCAATTGGCATTGATGCCATCTAGTGAAAGCACAACGGTGCCAGTAGCAGTGTAGCGAGGAACCCCTGTAAAAAGAAGGTATTTGTGGTCAGGGGGGAAATAGTGATACTATAAGCAATGCAGTTAGGGTGGGAAAACTAGAAACAGCAAAAAACATTTAGAGAAATCTGGAACACAAAGAGTTTATTTTGGAAAAATTAATCTCTTTTCTTACCTCTGGTGATAGCCAGAACCTCTGCTTGGTACTGTCCATTGACCAGATAGACAGAATCCCGGCTAATAACTTTGTTCAGTATGATTTCACCAGTGTTTTGATTGATTCTGAACCAGGCAGCTGGATCACGTCCTATGCTATATCTGTGTTTGGTGAAGTAAAAATGCGCAGTGTTATGTTACGAATATATGTATTACATATTTATTTTGTGGATAAAATTTGGCACTTTTCTTTTGGCATTTTTCTTTTAGCTATGCTAGATCCTATTGCATTTCACCCAGTTCAAGCAAAATCCATGTAGACTCCAAAAAAAGGAAGACCAGAAAAGTAATTAGGAATAAAGCAAATGCATAGAAACCCATTTTATTTTGAAAGTGTCATCATAGTCCAAAAGTAAAACTTTTCTGGATCCTGTAAACCTTTACTAGAATCCTTGCTTATAGCAATGGTTGAATCCACAGTTCTTCCTATAACATTCGAAAGTTGTATTTGCTGACACATTTCTGTGTTTTAGGAATTTATTTCAACTATTTGAAAATAGGCTATATTTATTTCTACATGGACTGAAAAGCAAATTATAGTCTCAGTTATTATTGCTAATTTCAAGAGAAACAGGTGCAAATTTTTTTTTTTTTACTAGAGAATTAGCTAGTAGGGGCTTATTCTATTCTGATTGGAAAATATTGACTGTTATTGGGATTTTCTGCCAGCTTTCTTGAGATGCTAACAAATTCCCTCCTTGTAGCAAATGTTTCAAGAAAAAGCATTCTTAGGCTGAGAAAAAAAAAAAAAACCAAAAACAACAAACCCTCTTCTAGTCTATTTAAGTTACAGCCTGTTAGAAAAGTGATCTTTTCTTTGTCTTGTGCATAAGGCTAAGAAAAGTTGCCAGGAAAGAAAAGGACAAAAATGGGCTATATACTATTCCATAATAACATAGAATGTATGATACTATGTAGTAATTGCCATTTTTCTATTGCTAATCAATAATCATTGTTTTTTAAAGCATCCTTTAAAATACGTATTCCTCATCCCATTGAAATCTCAAAAGAATTGTTCCACCCAGGGAGTTAAGCAGAGCAGAGCTTACACAACATTTGATGCAATGGTTCTAGTGTCCTCATCCATGGCTGTGTATGTTCCTACAACATAATTCACTCTTGCGCTTTGTGGCAGGGAAAACACAACTGAAGATGGATGAAATCTTGGTGGTTCAATCAAATTTTTTACTTCTACTGTGAGGGGTGTCCCAAATATCTGGTACTCATGTGCAACAGAGTGGTGGAATGCAGCTACATTCCTGACACCGATCATCAGTGCGTGAGTTCGGATATGTTCAAAGTCCAGCTCCTAAAAGGTAAACCACAGAGAACTAGATAATACATAAAAGCTCCTTTAATATTTTAAAAATATTTTTTATTTTAAATTGTTGAATGACAGTGTTTTTACTGCCTGTTTATTTCTACTAACAATTAAATAAAATTTTAAGTCAAGAGCTGAATATTTATCCATACCTTAATTACTCTAAGGATTCCTTGATTTGTAGCTCGATCTGTAACAATTTCAAAACAGTTATCTTCATTACCGGATATAAAGAAAAACTCTGCTAACCAATTGTCTGTAAACTCTTCATCAGCATCCAGAGCTTGTATTCGAAGCAGTTCTGAACTGAGTGAATTTTCTGAAATGCTTGCTGAAAACTGAAATGACAGACAAATACCTATTAGCAAACATATATATGTTTGGAAAACAGGAAAACACAGCTGTCTGCAGAGATTCTTTTGAAAGATGTTCTGAGCAGAGAATAAATTTTTTACATAAAAACAATGTGTTCTGGGAAAATTGTGATTATGATTACAGATTTGAAAATCTCCAAGTGTCACCTCCAAGGTTTGCAGAGGTATCTTAGAAGAAAAGGATTTGTGCTTTCTATAAGAAATGGTATTCCAAGGATTGGGTTATTCTACATAATCTCATATTGCAGGGATCTGGGCACCTGTACGACAGGATTTCTCTGAATACAAAGAAGTCAGTCCTGACAGTGTCAGGATTTACATCTCTGAATACAAAAATGATCTGTGTGTATGTTACCAGAATTGTTGCACAAGCGACAGACTGTATTTTGAGCACTCTTCAAGGGAACAACTTTGTCAATCCCATGGAGCATGTAAATGTGAAAGTTCTCTATGGGTTAGTAAGGGCTCTGTTACCAGTGGGCCTTTTAAATGGGGTTTTAAAACAGTATTGCTGCCTTTGTTATTGGAAACTTACAGAGCTTTGAGCAAGAGTTGGAAAGTTGTCATTAACATCAATGACTTTCACATTACAGCTACAAAGGGACGATATTCCATCTGCAGCGCCGTCCCGGTCTGATGCCTTCACAACCAGAGTGTAGCTACTATGTTGCTGTCACAAAAAGAGAAATGAGTATGTTAGAAGACCATCTGTGCATCTTATAAATAACTCATGCTTGCTACTATTTCCTAATACAGGAATTCTGCTTAGACATTTTATTGCGACACATCAAAACCGTGCATTTCTCCATTAATATTGGGAAAAAAAAAAACTTTTCTCTCTCTTCTATATTTTTCTCGCTCTCGTAGCACATATTCACTACAGCATAATTTTATTTAGCTTTGGAAGGGGAAATGTTACCTCTCTGTCAAGATAATTTGCAAGATGGAGTTCTCCTGTGTATTTATTCATAATGAACATGGGTGGACCAGAAGGTTCCTGACTCTCTATTTTGAAGGCAATTTTAGAATTCAAATGGTTAGGTTCATCTGCATCTGTTGCAATGATTTTCATCACCAGTGTGTCTAAAAAGAAATTAAAAAAATAGTAATTAAAAACCCACAAAACAAACAATCAAACAAAAAAAAAAAACCAAAAAACCCCAAGAAAATCTCTTGAGTTTCTGCAAACAACTGATCAAGACAATGCTAAAACAGTGTATGAAAATGATAGAAGGCTATCTATTCCTTGATATTTACAGAGAAAACCAAAACTTTAGGTTTGTAGTACTGATTCTGACAATGACTTCAAATGAATTAAAAATCAAAGTCACAAAAAATAATGCAGGTTTTCACTGAACTTCTTTAAAGAAGTTAAATTCCCTATTACCATAGGGAATATGCAAATACATCAAGTACTGAGCTTGCAGACATTACTATAAGAAATCACAGCTTTAAATGAGAATTTCTAGAAAGAAGAAAATGAGTGTTAGGCACCATTGCCTCAGTGCTATTTGCATGTCTAATGTTGATTACTGCACTTTTGGTAAAAAGAACCATTTTAATGGTTTAAGTACAGAATTATTTAGTAATGTTCTGCTGCAATTGCAAATACCCAGGCTACAACTACAAATATTTGAAAGAGAAAAATGGGGAAAAATGTATTTTACATACCCTCCAAGGAAATAAGTGTAATGATATTTTTATTCTAATGAGAAGGAATGAAATTATTTCTTTTACATTTTCACATCTGAAAGCATTTGCATGATGGTATGGTTAGAAACTGGAACATTCAGCACTCGTGTGTGGGAGGAAAGGGAGAAGGAAGCATTGCTGTTTAATTTACAGCAATTAGCCCAGGCCCTGGCTCAAATAGCACTTGGAGAAGCATCTGCAGCTCCCTCCTCTGCAGTGGCCCTGACCATTTTATGTCATTGCCTAAGAAAAGCAGAAAGAGCTCCCCAGGTTTATATTAACTGTATTCTGTAAGCTTCACTAGCAGTACTCAGAAGGCATAGCAGAGGTACTCACTGTCCATGCTGCTCTCTTCAACAGATCCTGTAAATACAGTTTGTGCAAATACAGGAGGATTATCATTTATATCCAGGACTCTGACTCGAAGTTCAAGAGGTGGTTCCAAATCTATACCGGTCACTGAGTGTTTAGCAAAGCAACGTATCTAAATAAAGAGATTTACTTGTTTTAAAACCAAAAGTTAACTAAGCAAAGTAGCAACCTGAAACAAGCAAACTTGTTGTCAGCCCCACCCTGGATCTATCATTATAAAAGTCAAGAAAAAGGGGAGTACTTACAACAAATACTGGTGTTATTTCCCTATCCACTATTGATGTTATATTAATTTCTCCTGTTCTTGGGTTAACAACAAATATTCCATAGGGTGCACGATCAATTCCAACTCCAGAGATGCTGTATGTGATTGGATTGTCTTCTTCACAATCAGACCGGATCTACAGTAACAGATAATATAATAATAATAATAATAATAATTTATGCCAGTTTTCCGAGGACACCTACAGTGTTTTTTCTTCTATTCCTAGTTCCTGTAAAAAATTCTATATAACTTCAGTTTCTCAACTACTTATTACAAGGTTCAGTTGACAGAATCAATGGAAGGCTCCTCTACAAAATGTCAACCTAGATATCCGTGTTCCCTTAAGGGATGAGTGGGCCTTTTATTTCTCCTGTGTCTGTCAGGGAAATGGAGAGATATTCCAAGAGTATCACACTGTGGCTGGAACTCAGTAAGGGCATGATCACAGTGAGACCAGGAAAATATTTCTTTTTCTCTGTTTCCCACAGGTTATGTATAGTCTTTCAGGGGTTTCCCAAGTATAGAGAGAGAGAGAAGAAAAATGTCACTGGTTGGAGCTGCCTGGGAATCCGACTCATGGCAATGTTCTAGGAAGCCTCTGGTTACTCCTCAGCAGCCACATGGATTCTTCTTATGAGACTGTGTCAGCAGAGCTGGGAATGTTGCATCATCTTTCTTTTATTCTATATTCCGTGCTTTTACTACTCTAAGCACACGTATTTTTAAATCTCTCTGCTTTTATCAGCCTGTCTTTGGCAAAACTTCCTTGTCAGTGAATACTTGTGTTTTTCTTTCTACTTACTTTGGCAATTGGATTCCTCTTAGAGTTGTCTTCTCCTTCTCTACAAGCTGCAGCAAATTTGATCCATTCACGTTTTTGTCTTCTAAAGGTTTTCCATCTTGCCATTCCATTTTCATCCCATTCTTTTACCTTTGACAGAGAGTTCCAGTATCATGTGACCTCAGTCCATTTTAAACAAATACAGACAATTATAATTTCCAACAAAAAGAAGAAAAAAGGTTTTTGTAGACCATGTGCTTTTTTACCATTTGCTTTTTTACATGTCTGTGAGTCCCAAACTCTATGACTGTACATGTTTATTTTAAAATTACTTATTTGTTTGAGATACTCATTTAGATTTAGATGAATTTCTCTTGAGAGTGTTAGCAGGTTATTACCTGCAGCTGTGTAATATTTAAATATGTTTTCAATCTTCAGGTTCAGAAGTGTCTTAGTTGAGTATTTTCCAAGTGAATTTTTCATTTGTTACATTTTGTTTAATCAGAAAAATAGTTTCTAAATAAATAAATATTACCTCTACATGAAATCCTGTGCTGAAATCCAAGAGTACCTGCAAGAACAATAAAAAAATTGGCATGTAAAAATCAAGGCAAAATGCAGCAAGCAAAACCGATCTGCAAGACATTGCTATACTGCAGGCCTATTGCAATAGCTTACCTAGCTGCAAGATTTCCATAAATGAGTTTGTGAAATTCAATTTTTTCTATATCCAGCACATAAATTCCTTGAGAGTTAAAACCTTCAAAATCCATTCTGTCTTTGAAGACAGTACTTTGAGCTTGAATGGATATGCCAGAGCAATTTTCAAACTATACCTTAATCAAAAGAAAGCTTTCACACAGATTTTAACACCTCGACTGAAGAGAGAAGTGTTTGCAAACGTTTTTAGCAAACACTCTAGGAAATCAGGAAAATATTTATCCTAAATAATTCATTATTTTTTTTCAATTTCTTTCCTATTTAGAAAGTTGACAATAACCCTGGAGTACTTAATTCTGTAATTTAACAAAAAAGAATGAAAATGGGTTTTTTGGAACTTCCCAGTGAGATTGAAGAGATTCAATGTAAGATGGAAACCCACCTGAAGTTTTCAGGCAAATTTCCCTGCAGTGCAGTTGATATTGATTTAAGACTCTGCTATGTAACTAATCTTGAGTAAATAAAGATAACAGGATCAGATGCAGTACTCAATTACTTTAAAACTAAAATTCAAATGAGAGTAGCCTCAATTTCTTGATTAGCACAATTTAAAAGACAGCAAAATTTAATTAACTCTATTCCAAAATAGGGTGTGTAAATGAAGTTCACTTTCTTCAGAGCATTTCTTTCAGGTTTAGGATCTGCTTTGGCTCTCTTCAGACAATAAAGGGTGAAGATTGTGGGATTTTCAGAACTGGATTCTTGTTTCATTCATCATTGGAAGATACAAAATATCCAGGTGACTCAAACATTTTTGCAGTGTTTCTCTTTTCTCAACAAATGTTAACAGCCGCAGTTATGAGTATTTCACTTCCTTATAATTTCCCATAGCTTTTTGGTTTGTTTTGGTTTCTTTGTTTTTTTGTCTGATATGGGGTTTTATGTCAGCTATACTTGGATAAAATCTGACATCTTTTATCCTTACATCATGGGACTTTCCTCACTTCAAATTTATTGCATTGTACTGGCAAGACTGGAACATGGACACAAAATTTTTTCCACTTACTTCATGTTAAGACAACTTCTTACATGCAACAGATTAATGAACAGCAGCTTCACCCTCCTTCCTCTCTCTCTCTCTCCCTCTTCCCCATTTAACCTGTATGCTGCAAGAATTAGCCATCTGTCATTTACAAAACAGTGTTTCCAATGATCTGGTTTTACCCAAAACATACCTTGAGACCTTGGCCTATAATGGATGCCTTAATCTGCTTCTCAATGGAGGAGTCTAGACTGGATCTGCCCATTTGATGTGCATATGTAGCTTGAATTTTTTTTAACTATTCACAGAGTAAGGATTTTTTCCTTGTTTGAGCCAGCTATTGACATAAATGGTTAAGAAAAGTACTCTGCAGGAGAATTACTACAATATGTTCATGTTGTGTTAAAAGTACCAATAAATCTTTTAACTTTTGTTGGGTTTATGGCTGTTTAAATTTTCAGCTTCAGAGTAGGGTTCAAATTCATATGCAGCTGTTCTGTTCCTCATCTCAGAAAAGGGACAATATCAGACTTCCTGTGAATGGCAGGGTTTGTTTGCCCCAGTGGGAGCTCAGTCCTGTTCTTTTATAATCCCCCTTGGAGTCCAGGGGAACATGGAAGAGTCAAAGGGGAAGACTACCCCCTCACGAGAGAACCTGAGTGATGAGGTCCACCAGAAATAACACTAATTGAACGTCTCTTATCAGTCTAACCCACCTCATTTGGTGAGCACAATGAAATCCTCTCCACCCTTAGGCTGAAATCACTTCTGGCATGCAAACAATTGTCTTGACCCGGCAAAGTATGGGTATGCACCTCCCAATGCCGTGTTAGTGAATCTTGTCTGCTGTCTGCATCATGTGGCCTATCCTTACTTAACAGCGAGACTAATGCCTTACACCCAGCCACATCACTCTCATATTCTGAAAAACTATTCTGAGTTTTTCTGAAATAAGAATTATACCTGTAAAGAATTCTATTACTTAAAGACATGAGCATTCATGTATCTCTTGATTCCAGCCTATAGGGAGTTCTGTTTTCAAGCAGTGAAAATTTTATATTTCGCACTGGAGTCTTATCCTTTGTTTTTGAGCACCAGTAATGGGAACATCAGGAATTTGTTAGTTGGTGATGCTGGGGATTATAAATTTAGGCCCTGTGTTTTCACAGTTGAGCAGTGATAGTGAAGGAAAACCCCATTTTGCTACTTGTTGGTAATGGAAGGTCTTGAATTCAGAGTCCTTAGTATAGTTCATGTTATTATTTGAAAGGGCTGATCCGATGAACTCTGATGGTCTCTGTTTGGTATGTGTCTCAGTTACAGCTGTGGTATAGGAAGGAGGGCAGGCAGACATCAGACATAAATGTCTAGTTCACCAGATAAATCCGAACAATTTTGAAATTACATTTATCCTACTGGATTCAGGGATAGAGACTCCTCCTCCTCCCCAGCTAATGCTTTCTGGTTCTCCGCTGTCACCAGCAGTTAGATGTCTTCCCCTAACCCAGTTGTCTATTTCTAATATTTATCTGAGATGCAAACCTCTTTTTTTCCTAGTGCTATTTCCAGCAGATAAATTCTGTCTCCTAGCAGCTAAGCCCTGCAAATTTTAGGTAGTTAAAAAAAAAAAATCCCTTCTAAACTCATATCGAAGTACAGTACTTTCCAAAGACTCAAGGATAAACAATAATTAAAGCAATAGGAGCCACTGGAATGTGTGGGATGCATGCTGAGGACCTTGGGGTAGGCAAGCTGGTCAGAATGATGCCAAGATTTGCTGTCCTGTTAGTCTCTGAGAGACTGTGAAAAAAAGGAAGCTGCAGAGAATCTAGACGCTGGTTGCACAAGCTGTTTCTGTTATGGGTTGGGAGATGGGCAGGCTGGAAACAATCTTGGTTTCTGTCATTTGCACAGTATTCTGTCTGAAAGCTTCTATTTTATTGTAATGATACCTGGACACTGTGTCCAAAATGACATCTTAGAGTCACACTAGACTTATTCTGGATTTATTCTGATGTAACTGGGGACAGAATTAGGCCCATAGGATGTCTACTGTTCTTTGCACCCTCAAAGCAATTTACAAACAAGAATTAACTAATCATTAATTGAGTGCCAAGCAATATCATACGTAATTACGGAATCCTCCCTTCTCCACCTACTCAAATCTCAATGACTGAACATGCCTTTAACATCTTCCCAGCATTATTCATACGGGATCTGCTTCTCTCTCTTTGAAGTCAACAGTGGCATTGTTGTTGGCCTGGATGGGAGGAGTGCTGAGAGCTCACACGTATTGTGTTAGTCATCAGGCTGCCGTGGTAGCTCTGGTACTGTCAGCGTTTTGGGACTTTTACATCTTTCTTACTCATCCAAAGCCCTGACTAGAAAAGGGTTGCAATAATGAGCCCTTCCCCTTTATTCATTCTGCATCTCTTTTCAAAAATGATAAATCAGTGCCTATGAAATAATAAGAAGCAGAGTTCAAATATAACACAAACCCTCATATTTTAAAAATATGCCATTTTATCACTTTTTAAACATTGAAACATGATTTTCTTTTTCTATACTTCACTTTTTCATATGTCACTTATGAATGTACTTCATCCAATTTAAGAGGAAAGATTTTCTGGATTATTTTCCTGACATGTTGTTTTCTAATTCAGAGGAGGTCAGGTCTTTCCTATCTTAGCAATACTTTGAGTTGCACCCAGGATGGATAATCCATTACTCTTTCAACAGTTGTGACAGGAATAATTCAGGAATTATGACAATGCTCACGTTAGACTGAAGAATTTACTTCAAAGTTTTATTTATTTTAAAATAAGTTTACTGAAAGAACTGACAACTTCAGGAAAGTTTCCACTGAGATTATTTCTGTTCTGCTACTGTATCTTCTATTGTATGCAGATACAATACATTTCCATAGAATAACTGAGCTTAACCATTAGAAAAATGAACAGAAAATTAATTTCAATATAGGGTGTATGCCATTATCATTAAAATTTGAGTTTTTCAAATTAGTCATGCTAAGTGCCCTCAATAAATCTCCTCAATAAAACCTGAATTCTGATATGACAGAGTGTTCTGGCTGCAAATGCATGTTTGCTTAATGGCCATTTTACTTAGGAATGTAAAACTGCAGGCTTAAGTACCTAATCTTAGGTGATAGTTCCTGGATGTGGAATTGCTTTAGTTTATATTTCTACAACAGAATTATTTGGCAGAAGAACCTGCAGGTTCCTGATTCAATTCTGGCAGATGTTTCACATGAATATACAAAAAGAGGATGTAGCTCCTGACAATTTTTACGTTATTTTTACGCAATCAAATTACGAGTAGGATGTGTAACCATAGCCTTATGACTGGGGGGGAAAAAATAAGCCTAGATAACATATGGGAAAATGTATCCAGACAAAAGTGCATAAGAGATGTGGTAAATTTAAAATTATTGGCTGTCACATGAGAGCTGGCAGGAGAAGAGTCATACCTGATCAAACAGGTTATTTCCATAAAACGTGTCTGTGCTAGTATCACAAACAGAACTCCCTTACTCATGAGAATAATGTCTTTGAAGTCACATGAGCAAAGGTTGCAGAATCAGTCCCACCAATGGTGAAATCCATAGAGAAAATTATTTGTTTCAGGGCTGGTAAGTTTCCTTTGTTTTTTTTGAAAATACAGTAGTTTACTAAAATATGTATAACTCCACGTTAATTTTATTTGATGCAACTTATTAACAATATACTAACCAGACACACCATTCAGACAGGTGATTTTCATGAAAGATTAGTTAAGCTGAAAGCCAAAATTTTTTCTCAGAATACACTAAAACTGGATAAGTAAATGTATAATTTGACCTCAACAGTTTTTCTGCCACCTTTCTTTAAAGAGTTGAGAGATGCTATTAAGCCATACAGGCCATCATGAACATTGCTGGGCAGAAGAACACATAACAAGAACAAGGGTTTCCTCTGGGTAGTAAAAGTTTGAATATTTGATAGTCATCATACACAATGGCATTTTCCAAAATCACTCTTTTTTTCTGAACCAGCACCTACCCTCCATCACTCACAATTGTAACAATAATATACTGATAGAATGAAAATGGCTCCAGAGCTGTTGGGAGAAGTAAAGCAGCAAAATGCTTTTGAATGGACAGGTCTTAGACATAAAACAGTCAAGCATTTTGAACTTCAACACACTGGGAGTGTGCATCACCAGGTAACTGAGTGAAATGAATAGTCACTTGTGTTTCATGAAAATCTAGAAGTGTTAGTGTGATGTGCAGCAGGCCGCTCTCAGACACCTCTCTGCTGCCTTGAACAAGCTGAAACTTATCCGAACCATAACTTGCTTTTGCCAACTTTTGCCCTTGTTTGCTTGGCAGCTGCTCTGTGTTAATTAGTTCTACTTTGCTGATTGCAGAGCTGTCACCTAAAATTAATAGATTGTATTTTCATAATAGTTTTAGGATTTCTTAACCTATAACACAAACTTTTTCTCTGACTACAGCATTTCTAGTGAAGTCAGTAATGAGAAGTTAACAAACACTTACACATACTAATACACAGAGTAAAATGTAAAATTTCATGAAAACCACAGGACATAACAATAGCAGAAATCCTGCTCTTCTCAATCTTCAGGGCCTTAAATCTCTACCAAATTTCAAGGGGGCAGTGCAGATGAGTAAAATTAATACACACAAAAATCAGATTGCAGGAGCAGTAGGGCACTCATAGCCCTTTTAAGTCCCTTCTGGGTAATTTCCATGCCTTGATGAACACATTGAACAACTATGCCACTTGACCATAGCCACAACTTTCCTTTTACAGTGAGAAAAACAAACCCAAGGAGCAACACTTTCATCATGCCTTCACTTGCTCGGCACATGGCGGCTCAGACACTAGGGCACAACAACACCGGAATCCTTTGCAATGTGAAATAATAGGCCAAGTTTTGATTTTTACTTATCTGAGATCACTAAATTTTGTCATTTTTTTATCTCTTGAAAATAGCTGTAGGATTTGGTCAACTCTGAAACTATCTTGCTGATCGTTTTAGGAAAACGACATTTTAAATTTTTAGAAAAAGGTATTTCCTCAACTGATAAAAAAGTAAGGACATAGAACCAAATTATATCCAACCATTAAAATGTTTATAATGATAGCATTTTATTAATAATTGTGACCTTTAAATAGCAGCCAAGAAAACATTTGCCTGAAACATCATGCAGTAAACATAGAAAGTCACATCTTGAACATCAACAGATCGCCAAAAGTATAAAAAGAAACATTTGTCAGTATTTAATGAAAGGCTAATTTGATTTTATAGAATGTTCAGAAGTGCTGTTTAAAAGGAGCAGAGCTTTGGTTTTTATGGTAAATTTCACAAGATATTTTTGGGGAATAGTTTATATTGTAAAACGCAGTGGTCTGCTGAGAAAGATGAAACTGGCGTAGTCACAGCATTTACAAATATTGTTTTAAAATCCGACTTACCAACAAAAGGAACAGAAAAGCAGCCGTTCGGTGAGGGAGCCAATCCATGGCATCTGACTTCTCAGAAACAAGTCCAACTGAGTTATGGTTACCAGCCTGTTCCTGTTCCCCTCCCCCCCCAGCTCTGGTGACTATTTAAAACGGCACTCTGTGCATGTCCTTATACTCAGCCCTTCAAGGTGTCTCTGCCTCCCTCTGAGGGAAGAACTGAAGATGCTGTATAACAGAGTGTCTTTCCCCACCCCAAAATCCTGGGCTGGTCTCACCTGAAATGCTTGACAACATCATTATTGCTTGCAGGTAAAAGCTAAGAGACACACCTTAATTCTTATTGCACTGAAACCCTTTGTTGGATACAAAAGGTACGTTTTAAAAACAGAGGCAAGCTTTGCTGAGAAGATACCGGGTGATTTATAAATTACTCACAACATAAGGAATCATTAAAATGGTAACTTTGCTTCAGATGCAACTTCCAGTTTTCTCTCTGCACCCTGTATAATAGAAGAACTAAATGAATATTACGATAAAGAATACGGAATTAAAAAAATTGTTCATTTAAATTAGCAGCTCATTTGTTTACTTCCAGGCACAAAGGAGTGAGTTCCATGCACACTGTTCACAGAACGAAGAACTCAGAGCAGAATGGGGCTGCCACTAAAGAGGTATCATATTAATTTTGGGGGAAAAAATAGTGCTTTATTCATGAGACTGCAAGAATATCTGAAGCAGAGGAGGAAGATTTTCTGCCTTCATGAGCTGCAAAGCCTCCTCATGCCATACCTTTCCCTTCCAATGGGCTGTGCTCTCGCTGACACAGTGGAGAGGGAGAGTGTTAGAGAAACTGGGGAGCTGCTCAAAACAGCAGGTAGTGGAGGAGAGAGAGAAAGTGCTGCAAAGCTCTCTTCTGGCCTCGTTTTTAATGGCAACGGCAGTTGTGTGGGCCATTCACAGAAATCACAGAGGGTTCTCCACTTTACTATCCGTTCTGCAGCACAGTGTTTGTTAGCTGCCTCCTCATGTCTTTGGGGACACCTGACCCACCCCTTAAAGGGCAAGGAGAAGTTAGAGTGGCCTTCTGCTCTGTGACTGAAACTGGGAGGGGGGTACACCCTTCACCCCCAAAAGTGCAATACCACCGGTGTGCTCCTGAGCCTGCTTAGCCCTGCATCTCCCAGGGCTGGGCATGAGCTGGGAAAAGAGTGCTCAGCACCTCTGGGGCTGCTCAGCCCTGCCAGGGTGAGGTCCCATGCTGCTGCTGGGTAAGCAGCTTTGCAGCACGCCGCGTCTCCTTGCCACTTAGCACGGCTGCCTTGCTGCCTTGCGACGGGCTGGGGCTGCCAAAGCCAGTCGTGCATGTCCCCAGTTGTCACTCAGCCCTTGGTACCAAACTCAGCATGCCCACCAGTGAGTCAGGGAGGCACACCGGGACAGGCCATGTTAAATGGATTCTACCTGCAGTTTCCTTTTTCTGGGAAATTCTAAACAATCTCAAATTTGCCTTTGGCTTAAGAAAATGTTAATTGTTGTACAAAATATGCATATTCTTTTATGAACCCAAGTATCTTATTTCAGAACTTTTGTCTAATCATGCATTAAAAAAATCTCAATTTTAAAACATTTTTACTTTTAGATTTTTCAGTTGTTCAGTTTGTATGGATTTCTTTTTTTGTTTGCAGAATTTGAAACATTATTTTTGTATGTTTTATTTTTTCATACCAGACTGACAGCCAAGAAAGCCTGGCAGTATGTACCACTCAAAACCTCTCCTGGCAATGCTGAAATTCTGTTTTGACCACTGGATAGAAGAAGTTATTTCTTGAAACTGCAAAATAGGCATGTTTTATTACAGACCAAAATATCTCTTGCTGAGTCAATTTTATTATTATAACAGAAGATAATTTGATCTACAAAAGCTGGTAAAATGCCTCAAACAACAATAATAGCCCCAGCAGAAGTGAAAACAAAATTACCTGCTATTGCACTGCATCTTTCTTTGCCATATCTCATTATGAAGAGTTCACATGGATTTATGACAAAAGATAAATAAGAACAATTCTTCGATGGGAAAACTTGTAATGAAATTTCAAATAGGACTTCCGAATAAATATTTAAAATATAATTTGCACATTTAAAATGTTTAAAAAATAGTTTTGTCTAATTGAAAATGACTGAAAAATGCACAGTAGTTTGATGCAGCTTGGAGAAGAAATCCTAATCTGCTGACCATTACCCTTTTGGAGTATTGGAGTTAATAAAACAGTACTAGTGGCATTCACCTCACAATCATTTTGTAATCTTGATGCTTTTCTCTCCTTTATATTCTAAATGAAAGTTTTTATGGTTTTTTCCTCTTATTGCTATTAGCATCATACAAAACAGTAGAGAAAAGGTCCATGGATCATTTTGGAAACAGAGTTACATAATTAAAAATATAATTAGTGCATAATGTGGTTAATTAAAACTTTTCTTTCATGGAAAGATTTTTCAAATATATTTTTTGGCATCTGAAAATTCAACCAGTCACCTACAGATATTACAGAGCCAGCTAAGAGCCCATGTCCTAGTGACTCCCCTTTTCAGGAATTAGCTGACATATTTGACTGCTTCTGAAAACACCCTTTTTCTATGGCAGTGGTCTTGTTACTTTTAAAACACAGTTCTTGAGTTTTTTTTTTTTTAAATAAGTCTCCAAGATTGCAAAAGTCCAAATCTGCAGCTGATTTCAAATCTACTTCATCCACATTTGATGCAGCCTACTTTCAGATAAATAGGTACATATACACACATTTCAGTCAGCTTTCTGAACATTTCACAGGAAAATATTTGGTCCTGTACCCCTCCTGGCACTGAGTCCACAATGACTCATGCCTGCCCCTGTTGTGGGGTTTGGAGAGGAGGTGTTTGATCCAGGTCAGCAAGGAGCAATTTCCCCCTCAAGAGTCTTGTATCTACATGAGATAATAATGAATACACACCCTAATAGTGCACTCTCAAATTAACCTTCCTGTGTGGGAAGTGAAAAACCCCAACAACAGAAACAGTTAAACTTTTCTGCTCTAGCTTTACCCTCTTGATTAAAGGAAGTAGGTTTACTCAGCAATTACCTGGAGAATCTGTCATACTTAAGTTAACAAAGAAAGAGTTTCTCTCCATTCTGAAAGAGAAATCCAGCCTAAATCCTGAACTATTGGCTTTCTGGAAAACACCCAGGAATGTGGATTTGAATTATTTTATCAGTGTTATATTCAGACCTGTATGCAAGGCTACAAAGGAGAGTTTCTGTAATATAAAGAGAAGGCAAATGGAAAATGCCATGTGCTCTATCAAAGCAGTGTGTGATGATGTTAGTAAGATTTAATATGTTTTTTGTTTTAATATGAGGAACCCAAGGCACAGCAAGATGCAATGACTTGCCTGAAATATCTCAGCAAAGCAGGGGCAGCACTCTGTCTCACCTAGTGCACTTGAAGATAATTTATGAGTGGCAATGGACTCACCTCTGATATAGCTTATTTTACATTTATGGAGATGAAGCTCCTGGGACTTGTTTGACAGGTAAGGCACACAGATACACTTTGCAATGCTTATGATACATGGGTTTCTGTTTCATCATATACTTATGTTTTGATATATTTTGGGAATCTCACTTAAATATCAGCAGGACCACAGCAGGCTGGGAAAACTTTTATGCACTATGGGCTTCTCCTGTCAACATTATTTTAAATTGCTAAGCATATATATCAGTCCAAAATAATTTCTCTCATTATACTACCAACCTATCTGTCTGGGAATGAAATGGAATGTTAAAATTTGATTTTGGGAAGATTATGCCTAAGGCAATTTTCAGTTTCCCCAGAATAGATGATTTTTGCAGCCTATTCATTCATCTTACTGCTTCTAGAGACTGTTGATACTAATAATCATGATGACAAAAATGTTATTTCTGAGTTGCTGAAAATGTGTGGGGCAAACTAGGCATACAATCAGAAAGACAGCCTTGCATCTAAACTAGCAAATGTATATAAGGAAAAGTGTGCAGAAATGAGAATGACCAGAGAAAGGCAATCACAGAATCGCTCACTCTGAGATTATTCCTGTCATCTCTGTCAAACCTTTGGATTCAACAGCAACAGAAAAATATTTGGATTTATAAGAGCCCTGAGTGGCAGTCACCTGCTATTTTTTTCAAGCAATTAGCATCTCCTGGCTGCCTTCTTATTCTCCCATTATGGGGTATGATTTTCCTTTTATTTTTAATGAACAGCTAGTGAGTTTGATCTTCTGCTGAAGCCCAGTTCAGTGGAGTGCCTTGGCTTACATGCAGGATATGGATGCCTGAATGAGTTACTGCCACAGCTCCCCCTAAATGATGAATGCCACCACTGAAAGAGTCTTGCTATCTAGATTGTACTAGATAGTAATGTACTATTACAATCATGGGAGTATTTCCCAGCTCCTGGGCCTGACTGCACAGCCCACGAACTCTCCAAGACCCATGTCCAAACCATTCCCTTGAGTTTTCTGTGTAAGTCTGCAGCTCTGCCATGACAGGGCAGAGACTTTTGGTGTAAAATAGAACATTCACTGGCATGGTGATATCTGGGGGGTGATACCAGAGAATACACGAGGTGCTGATCAGAGAATTTCTTCAGAGGTCTTCAAGTATCATCTTGGAAAGTCAAGAAAGTCTTTGGACAATATAGCCCTCCCCATCCATCTTCAAGCCCAAAGCTATCCTCTGCCATTCATTATTATGTCCTAAAAAAGAAGACTTGATTAAAAAGGTAAAATTCACTTACTACTGATATGGTCTCAGGCTTCCTCACTTTCTTTACCTCTTTCTTTACCTCTTGGAGGAAAAGAGGCTAAGTAGATTCTTCTTCTCTCATTGAATTTACTTAGCTTATTATCTTCAGTGCCTAGAAAGGAAGACCTGAAGGCAGGGCAATAGACATCAAGTAGTCTCTAGAAAGCAGCTGCAATGCAGGAGCAGTAAAGATCAAAGAGAACTTTGCTCAGGTTGTGAGTTTAATACGTAGTGGCCAATCTCACAAATGATTCCTTTAAAGATGGGGATGATGATCACCTTAATTTCCTTTTCTAGATTTTACTGCTGATTGATTTCTTCTGTGCTTGGTTTTCAGAAACCAGATGCAGCTGCTCCCATTCCCTCCAGCACAATCTAAGGATGCTTGGCCTTGGCTTTGTAGCAACCTGGGTCTCAAAAACAGTAGATGCAGTTGTATATAAAAGATTTGTCCAGACTAGAATTTGCTTTTGTTTCTGATGGAAGAGTATCGGTTTGTGGGGAGTGGACTCTGCCTTGATCTTATCTCACTCTCACCAGAGAGAGCAACAGAGAGTCCCAGGATCATTGCATTGAGCAGGATGCAGAAGTGCTGGAGAAACAAAAGAAAGAAATTTCTGCAGTTTTTACTCAAATATCACAGAAAATAATAATCCTAGAAATTTATGGTTCATATAATGGAAGGTGAACATCTTGTATTCCTGGTGGGATTAACAAAGTCATCATGAATCCATACATTCACTGCCTTTGGCCTGTGATGGTGATTTTAGAGCTGCTTTTTTTGAAGATGTTTCAGTATGAAGGGAAGCATCCTTGGAGCCAGGAACTGAAACCAAACAATAAGCTTACTCATTGCTTACTCAAGGGAGAAAATGGTCTTAGTGAAGAAAGTTAGACAGGTCACTGCTGCAGGACCTGTGTGCTGCTTTGCTGCAGGTTGCTCGTATCTGTGATGCTGCATGTAAGAATAAGGTTGCCTGTATGTTGGTCTGCTTTGTCCTAGTTTGCTAAATAAAGAAATAAAAATAAAACCTTCTGATACAAAAGAGAGAGGAAACCTGTTCAATTCAGACATTAAGCAAAGGTCATGTGAGTGCAAAATAAATGCTTTATATTACTGTATTTTAAACATAATGTTTAAAACATCACTTGCAACGTATAATTAGCTTCCTTCTTGTTAATCCAAGACATTGATCTACCAATTTTATATGGAGAGCAGCCAATTTATAAATGTATCTCAGTTGATAATTGGCCTGACTTGCTTTGGGTAAGGATGAAATTGGTGTACTTCCCTGTGCTGTGACAATGTCTGGACAGCATTTTGAAGATCTGATTATAATCCATTGCAAATTTCTATGTGGATGTGGGGTTGGAGACAAAGAACCACACTCACAATTCAGGAGCAAAGGGAACACTGCTATTTGTTTGACTTCAGAAGCATTGGAGAGTAATTGGTCTCTGCCCTTAAAACACATGAAAAAGTAAAAAAAGCAATTTTGTAAAAAACACATGGGAAGAAATCCCCATCTGCTACTAGAATTATTTAATAAAATACCTTACTTCATTAAAGCTATTGAAAAGCTGTTCTTTGTAGTACCTGTGACATATTGGCAGCTAGATAAATAATGAAATATTGTCAGAACTGAAGATACTGTAATGTTAGTGAAACATCCATCTGCAACCAGAGACAATCTATTATTTATATTGCAAATATTTTAACATTGTTAATCTTTAATTATTATTTCTTTAGTTATTATTCTGTTAATCTTTAATTATTTATTTCAGTTTTTTGAATAATCGATGTTATGTGAAACATAGCGGTATCTGATGACATTTCTGGCATTTAAATAATGCCAAAAATTACATTTTGGCCACAGAAGTTTTAAAAAAATGCCAGACAAATAGAAAAAAAAACAATGAAGTACATACAAAAAAATTTAAGGTTATTTTGGGGAAGAGTAGGGTGGGTAAAGCAAAGTGGATAAATAAAACTCTGGCATAATATTTGAAATATATTCTATATTTTACTGTCTAGACCAAATTTTTCAGTGCCTAGTGAAAAAAATTAATAATATTAATTTGGAAATTTTGCTTTTACAGTATATCTTGTTTAACTAAAAATAAATTAGAAATCTCATGAGCTGTCCTGCTTACAGATAAAGAAGAGAACCTCTGTGCTGGGACAAGGAACAGTTATAATCCTAGATTTAAGGGAGAAAGTGACAAGAAAATAAAAATCTAGGAGGAAAGGAGCAATATGGAGCTACCCAGGACTAATTTTATGTCAAGCAGAGGCTGAACTTTAAGCAATATCTGTAAAGACTCTTACCAACTAACAGACTTGTGAACTCACATGCAAGCGTCTAAGTGGCATGACATTGAAACCTGTCAAGCACCATTAGATTACTGCTGCTAAAATCAGGCCTGCTGATTAGAAAACCATTTGGGTAACGGCATCACAGCATCGCCTCAAAAGAAGAAGCTTTAAGCAATCTGATTTCAGCGGACAGTAAAAAACCCCGAACAACCACAACAAACCAAAAACCAGAAAAACTTGGCTTGGATATACTGTAAAGCTGGAGCACGAACCCTTATACTTCTGGTTGTTAAAGGTGAATTTGATTTAGATGGTGAAAAGTTAGGTATCACTTTCATTAGGTTTGGCTTCAGATAAACAAGTGGAACAGCAGAAGCCTGTGTGGGCAAAAAGGGCAAAGCCATAAAACTGTGTCAGAAGCCCTGCTTTACTCTTCCGGTGTTCCTCCCTCAGCTGACTTGCTAGCTCTTTGTACATGATAAGAAGGTAACAACAAGGTTAAAGTCTGGGTATAAGCTTGAGAAGCTCAACATTCATGACAGGATAATTCAGTTTTTTAGATAAATATTTACATGGATTTTTAATGTATGATCCCAAATTCATGTTTAGGTCCCAAATGAGCTAAGAATGTGTGACTAAACTAACACAAGCAAATTCACCATCTGTAAGTATATAATATTAAAACATTAATGGATTTGAAACCCTGAACAATATTTTTACTCAGTCTTAATGTTTTCTTTGCTCAAAAGCAAATAAACTCCTGCAGCATGGTGCTCCCATCCTACTTTTGCTTTCAACTTTTTTCCATTCTTGTCAAGAGACGTCACATTCCCATTTTGGTTCAAAGTCCTTTTTAAAGGACAACTGTTTTATCTCTGACACTCTGATATGTTTTCTTCCTTCTGAAAACTGCTAAGTAGGATGGGCAGATGAGAGACAGACAGACAGGCCTGCTCAGTCCGTCTGTCACTGCAGTGGAGCTAGAGGAGGGGTAGCGACATTGCTGGATGAATGCTCCTTGCAATGCCCTCAAACATGGTGTAAGGAGAGTTAATCCCTCAACCTCCCCTTCTTCCTGGGAAGAAAGGAAGGAGAGATGAAAGAAAGGAAAGCTGTGCCTTTCCTTCTAGCCCTTAGAGCCTGTAATCTTATTAATGTGTATGCCTGACAAGGATTGGAGAAGTCCCAGTGCAGCCTTTATATGGCAAGGACCAGGTATTTGTAGATGCTGCACCAGGACATGGTCAGCAATCTCCATCTGCTGCCTTTGCTGTGGTTCAGGGAGCATTTGCACTTCCACAGCACTAACAAAGCAGCTCTCAGGTCACTACTGGGAGTGTGATCACTTCTTTTCAACTGACTTTATAGTGCAGGTATGTGAGCTACAAGCAAAGCATGCAGTTTCTTGTCTAATCTGACTGCTCAGGCAGTGATTGCTTTGTGAATTGCATGACTAATAGCCAAAGATATTCTGAATCCAGCCTTATTCAAGTATGAACTAAGTCCCTGAAGAGGTAGCCATTTGCTTGGTTGTTTTTCACTATCAGTCTTGACATTGATAGTGACTTCAAGTGCTGCCCTGCCCCTCAAAATTCTTTTGGTGCATGGACACCCATGTCTTTTTTCCAAGGCATATTTTTGTGGGATGGCTTGCATCTGGGTGTTAGGGATCAATGAGAAAGTGGAAATGGGTTTAGCAATCATCATTACAGTATCACCATTGGCAACAGTAACCAGCAAGTTTAAAATCGCCTCTCTAACACAGTGCTTTATTAAATGTTAGTAATTAAACATGAAAATCACTAGGTAAGATTAAAGTATTTTAAGATATCAGATTTTAAATTAATTTTCTGGATGAAAAAGCCAATGGCCAGGCTTAAGACTTGGAATACATACTTTAATATTTTCCATAATGTAATACTTCTGTTTTACATTTTATTTGCATGACATATTACACATCACCTTCTTTAGTGCGGTGACATTGTTATTTTCTGGTTTTATATAGGCACTAGTATCATTGGCTTCTGAACTCTTTTTATGTTTCAGACAAAGCCTGTGAAGTATTATGTCTGGATGCAGATCGTTGTATATTCTATACGTGCATTCTGAACTTGTGAGAAGATGTCTTAATAACAATATTTTGTCATTTTAATGACATGAAAATGTAACCCATCACTAGGCATAGATATCAGACCATAGTTCCCTTTAACTTAACAGCTTGAGTCTGAGAGTGGTCAGCAGCAACGGCTTGGTGTAATAGCCATGTTCATAAAGGAACTGATGGAAGAAGGTCATTGGTGGTTAGGAACTTCATGGTCTGGAAATTGCATCCATACTGTTATACCTACCTAGTATTTGATGCACCTTTCTTCATTAATTTCACACCACCAAAACACCCTGTGGCAGTGATTTATTTAACTCAGATCTAGTTAGGAGCAATGTGAAAAAGTTCTTCCTTCTGTTGTTTTAAACATGAAGACTGATTATTTCACTGAATGAACTCTGTTATGAGAGCAATAAGGAGCTGTTCATTAGTCACCTTGTCCAGGTCATTTACTGGCATCCTACTGAATGATAGGGCCTTACACAATAAAATAAATAGCCTACCTTCTAAGAATCGCGACTAAACTGCTCTTTTAATCAAGAGTAAGCCTTCCCTGTAAATAACCATCATTATGTACCATTAAGGATTAATGTGGTGCGTTGCTGGAAATAAAGATCAACTTGTTTATCTCTCCAGTTCTGGATTCTGTCTTTCATCTCTGGGAAGTGACTGACCCAGAGATTATTGAATTCATGCAAATGGATATCCTTGATTTTCCTGAACTTTAGAGTAAGTTCCGTGACAGAAAATCTGTTTCTGTAGGTGAAATGGGTTCCCTCATTACAGTATAGCAAGAAGCACCTCTACAGGACGTTTGACTCCAGATCCATGAAGCTGTAGTCCTAAAATATGTGAGTCAGGCTTTTCATTTATTCTCTTGACACAGGTACTTTTTGACACCTGTCTAGTTTGTTAGGCTTTGCAAACTCTCCACTGAAGAGCAGATGGTGGAAATTTCTCACATCTTTAAGTCCGAGAAATAAATCCCCCCAGGGCCTAAAGGGGATCACCTGAGGCTGGAGAAGCATTTAATAAGCTGTCTGTCTACTATTTCCCATGCCTATCATACCTGCTTGTGGACCAGCTTTCCCTTACCTCCCTCCAAGGCCTGGGTCCATGTCACCTACTTAAGTTGAGCATCACAAATGCTTCTATTGTCAAGAGTGTCACATGCTCCAGACAGCTCAAAGATGAGCCTCCAGAGATGGCTCTTTTGGACTCTTGAGAAAATTAAAATGACTATGCTTTTAGCATCACACTCTGTGGTGCCCTTATTGGGCAGGCACTTAGTTACCCAGGTGGGATTTATCTATGCCTGAGTTCCAAATTCTGCGTGAGCTGTAGATAAGACCAACCCTTGTGCTGGTCACTTGATGATGGGCAGGCTCATGGTGTGTTATTCCATTGTTCCTCTGTCAGCTTCTGTTGCAATCTGGCCTATGGACATCTCAGACAAGTTGTTGAAGAACATCTAGACTGGGTTGGGTGGCTATTACAAGCCTAATTAAAAGGAAGCAATTACTGGGATTACATGTACGACCAAGATTCTGTGCAAGCAAATATCCGCTTTGGTATTTATTGAAGCTTCATTTTAAAAGTACTTCTTACAAAAATATTTGTCTATTAATTTGCCTTAATTGTGAATACAGTGAAGAGATTTAGATTTCTTATAAAGTTCTGCATTTTATCCAGATCTGTTTCCTTTTGAATCTTCACAGACTAATTTTCTGGTTTGGTCACCATCACATGGAGGAAAGACATTGTCCCTCTGAATAGTTTCAGATCCTACTGCTCTCCAGTTTAATTGGCATATCTCTTACTACACCTGTGAAAACTCCCTGCTTTCTGTTGTTTACTCACAGTTTTTACAGACACCACAGCTCCCAACGCCCATAAAGATGACAGCGCTGCCTCTGAGCAGGGGGGAGCAGATGATGCCAAGTTCTCACTCACCCTATGTACAGTATGTAAAGAACATGTGAAAAATTTTAAATCATGCTTAGTTTAAATAATTTGAACAAGCATTCTAGGTATATGAGAAAATCTAGGGAAATAGGTATTCTCCATGTTGACTAATCTAGTTTTTGGTTGGTTGGTTGGTTGGGGGTTTTTTCCTATTTTCCCCCTTCTGGTGGTTTATATGGGAATACTGCCTCTAGAAAGCCCTTTAAAACCAGCAGATAGGGATTTTTCTAAATTTTGTTTGCATGGCATTTTGGCGAAAACGTTTGGCTGAGCTATATAAAAGTGTCTATTTTTCCACTAGTACCTGATACACACCCCCAGTGGCAGTACAAATTTGCAGTGCTTGCAGGGACTGATACTGAGCCCTGTGGCATCTTAGGGGTTCTCTTGGAGGTGTCCCTGGGGGAAGACGTTGTCGCTATGGTAGATCCTCCCCTGATACCTGCAGTGGGGATTTTCATTCTCCGGGCCTTTACCATGCCCTCCACCCTTCCCAGCCCCCAGCTCACTCTTCTGGTGTCATTGCTGAGGAGAGCTCCCTTGCTGCTGTGGAAGATGCACAGGTGCACTCTGATCATTTGATATATCTAATTCATGCATGAAATATGACAGTGTGCTTGAACACACATTCAGAAATTAATCAGTATGGTGGGAATGTATGAACACCTTGCATCTGCCAAAAGATGCTGAGATACCTATGCAACTTCGGACAAAATTAAGTTGTCTGTCATTTCACTGAATTTCCAGTCATTCCCTCCTTACCTTTCCTCTCCATCTGTTTCTCAGCTTGGGATGTTCCGAACTTTAACCTTGAGAGAAAGCTGCCTCTTGTAGCAAATGTAGAAAAAACACACAGCCCTCCCACATGTCATCTTTGAGTGTCCAGGGCACTTTGAAACTATTTGTGTTTCTTTTACACAAAGGCAAAGGATGGGTAGGTGAAGGCAACAAAAGAAAAAGAGGTATTAAGGATAAGTATTCAAATATTGTATTTCACACCAAACTTTAGTTCTGTAAAAAGTAAATCATTACCAGCAGTTTATATCTTTATGACTCTGATGCATAGATTATGTCGTCAGAAGAAGCAAAGATTAAACACTAAAAATGTCTCAATCACTGTTAAATATAAAACTGATGCCTCAATAACAACAACAAAAAATTAGAAGAAGGAAGCATTGTCATGATATTAGCAAGTTATCCAGTTGCTTTCACAAGATATGACGGTGCACACGTAATTAGATGAGGAATGAGAGTGGTGAAAATGGAGAGGTGTGGCTTTATAGTGCACTGAGTACTGGCACACACCTAAGAAAACAACCAGTCACTCAGGAAACTGAGTGATAAACAGTTTCTGTACCCCACATCCAAGGTGACAAGCTGAACTCCAGCAAGGCAGAACACTTTATCCACTGGTTCAGCTTGTACCTGAGAAGTGTAGGTCTGCCAAACTAGCTATAGAAAGGTATGTAAAGCCTAAGTCTACTTCAACCAAGCATTGACTTCAGGTTGACTGGGAGAGTGCAACTCTAGGAAGCAACACAGAGGGTACTATGTGTTCTGCAAGGATAGGAAACTCTGCTAACCGTTTATACCCTTCTTGCCTCCCAGCTTTGGACTATGACCTGACTGTAACTGTATTCTATCTTTTTTTGTTAATTAATGACAAGCGTCTTGTCACAGAATGGTTTGAATTGAAAGGGATCTTAAAGATCATCTAATTCTACCCTCCCTGCTATGGGAAGGAAACCATGAGACCAGGTAGCTCAAAACCTTATCCAGCCTGGCCCTGAACACTTCCAGGGATGGGGCATCCACAACTTCTCTGGACAACCAGAGTCACATTCCAGTGTCTCACCACCCTCACAGAAAAGGATTTTTTATGTATCCAATCTAAACTTAACTTCTTTCAGTTCAAAGCCATTCCCTTTAGTCCTATCACTACATGCCCTTGTAAAAAATCCCTCTCTAACTCTCTTGCAGACCCCCTTCAGGCACTAAAAGGCTGCTATAAGTCATCTCCTGGAGCCTTCTCCTCTCCAGACTGAACAACTCCTACTGCCTCAACCTGTCTTCATGGGAGAGGTATTCCAGCCCTCTGATTATAGTCATCACCCTCCTCTGGACTTTCTCCAATGGGTCCACACCCTTCTTATGCTGAGGGCCCCAGAGCTGAATCCAGCACTCCAGGTGCCCCAGAGCAGGCAGAGGGGCAGAATCATCTCCTTTGACCTACTGGCCATGCTGCTTTTGATCCAGCTCAGGTTGTGTTTGGCTTTCTGGGCTGCAAGCGCACGTTTCTGGTTCCTGTTGAACTTATCAACTAACAGACTCAGGTCCTTCTCCTCAGGGCTGCTCTTAATCCATTCTCTGCAAAGCCTGCATTTGTGCTTGGAATTGCCCTGATCCAGGTCCTTGCACTTTGCATTGTTGCACATGGTCCACCTCTCAAGCCTGTCCATGTCCCTCTGGATGGCATCCCTTCTCTTTGTTGACTGCACCGCCCAGCTTGGTGTCAGCAGCAAACTTGCTGAGGGTGCACTTGATTCCACTGCCCGTGACACTGACAAAGATGTCAAACAGTGCCATTCCCAGTATCAGCTCTGAGTAATGCCACTCATCAGCAGTCTCTATGCAGACATCATGCCACAGCTCATCACAATTTTTTCATTTGCGATCATTCAGCCAATTCATTATTGACCAACTGACCATCCATGAAATTCATGTCTCTCCAGTTTAGAGACAAGGATGTTGTGCCAGAAAGTGTCAAATGCTTTGCACAGCCCCAGGTGGATGACGTCAGTTGCTCTTCCTATTCCACCAGCTTTGTAACCCTGATGTAGAAGGCCACTAAATTTGTCAGGCATGATTTACTCTTAGTGAAGTCACATTCACTGTTATCAATCATCTTCTTTTTTTCATTTACTTTATCACAATTTCCAAGAGCATCTGGTGTCTTGGAGGTCTTGCTGGGAACTGAAGTAAGTTTGACTGACCTGTAGTTCCTTAGGTCTTTCTTGTTTACCTCTTTAAAAATTTGGGTTATGTTTTCCCTTTTCCCATAAGTGACAACTTCACTGGACTGCCAGAACCTCTCAAATGTGATGGATAGTGACTTAGCCACATCCTTGTCCAATTCCCTCAGGATCTGAGGATGTGTCTCATCAAGTCCTATGGATTTCTGCACCTTCAGGTTCCTTAGTTTTTGAACCTGATCTTCTCCCACAGCTGGCAGTTCTTAATTTTCTCAGTTCCTGCCTTTACTTTCAGCACATTGGGTGGTGTGGATGGAGCACTTGCTGATGAAAATTTAAACCAAAAGTCCTTGAGTATACCTGTCTTCTTCTTATCTCAGGTAACCAGATCTCACATTTCCTTCTTGGGAGGACCCACATTTTTCCTAGTCTTTCTTTTGTCACCAACCAACCTTCAGAAGGTTTTCTTGTTGCCCTTTATGTCCCTGGCCAGAGTTAATTCTCTCTCATAAATTTAGCTTTCCTAACCTCATCTCTGGCTGCTGGGACAATTTCTCTGTATTCCTCCCAGACTACCCCTCCTTATGTCCACACACATTGCTTTTTATGTTTGAGAGGTCCAGGAGCTCCTTGTTCATCCACACAGGCCTTCTGGTGCTCTTGCCTGACTTCCTTTTCACTGGGATACAT